GGGTTAACATCATCGACTCGTGGTCCCTCTTCCGCCAAGACGTGCGCAGCAACTCCGTGGGCTTGTTCCAAACCTTGTTTACGAAGCATCCGGAGTACCAGAAGCTTTTTCCGGTCTTTGCCAACGACCCTGTGAACGAGCTACATGAGAACCCTTGCGCTATGGCGCATGCTCTCGCCTTCGTCTATTTCTTCACGGCCATGGTGGACAACATCGACGACAAAGATACCCTCGCAAGTCAACTTCTAATTTTATTCGTTTATTTTTACGGAGTAGCTCGCTATAGGCTAACCGGTCCAGGAAACCTCTCTGTCTATCCATCGTCTCCTATTCTTTACTTATACGTGGCTCGCATTGATATCTGCCGCCGCCGATCGCGTATTTTCTGCAGCAGGGGTGCTATGTTACGCTTTTTGCACTCCCAGGAGACTTGGAAGAAGGAAGTGACGTCAACGACTAGAGCAAATGCAGATTGGATGTTGACAGAAGAAAACAAAATCAACATCCAATCTGCATTTGCTGCGTTGTTGACGTCACTTCCCTCTCCCTAGTTTCCTGGGAGTGCAAAAAGCGCAACATAGCCCCCCAGTATTCACTGGACGCCATATTTGAGTGCGCAGTTCCCTGCACATGCTCAGATTGAGCACACGTTTTTAAGCTGCTAAGCCCGGCATTATTGATGGTGAGGAATGCCCGTGCATGAAACAACTGCGGAAGCTTGTTCTCAGCAAGCGCCCAGCAGCCGCGGACTCAGCTATGGCCGCCAGAGAATACTAAAGACCACGACCTACTGCTAAAGCCACTGGATATAGGGAAAGTAGCGCCATTTGCCTTCCTTGCCTGCTAGCCGGGCACGAACAGATGCTAACCTACAGACGACCGAACCTTGCAAGGCGATTGGTATCAGTTGCCATGGCAATGGTCACTTGGTCCATTCCAATCTTCGAAAGGGTCGTTAATTCTGAACTATCCGCACCAAGATCGCTATGGAGCCTTGTGCTACCAAAAGCGTTCCTCCCCAAGATAAGCACCTTTGGCACTGTGCTCGCAATTCACGTTTTAATCATGCCTATCACCATAGATTGCTTACAACGGTATTGTTGTTCTTGCGTATTTGAAGAGGTACGAAAACGAGATGGACGTCACCGCGAGCACTCTACCTCTCACTTAAAAATCTGCCAGCGAGAAGAGCAATGCGTATCGCGCTCGTGACGTTAATGGCTCTGCACAGCCAAGGGCACTGTGGTTGCCGCTTGTAGTCAACGCGTGACAATCTCGCCTGGGAATAATATCCGAGGACTGTACGCCCTATGGCCTATTCACAGCTTGCCCGTAGCGTCATCCGCGACCATGCAGGAATGTTATGTGCCACGAGCGTTTGGTTCACATGTGTTAATTTCACACCGCAGAAATGGTAGCTCGAGGGAACTAGCAACTAGAAATAACCGTCAGTACGCAGCAATGGCGACACCTTCAAGCTATGCATTCGCGGCGAGAAGTTCGGGTATCGCCGCGTGGTAGAATTTCTTCGCAACCCAGAACGAGGATACTTCAGTTCCCTCTGCTGGTGCAAGCACTTCCAATGCCAAAGTTCTATGCACCATGGTAATTAAAACATAACCGCGTGGGTAGCACGTGCACGTCCCATAGTGAGGAAAACAGCAGCGCCCCTCGCGAGCTTCTCACCGCGAATATAAGGTATTCACCGGGTGCCATATTTGAGCTGTTATAGTCACAGTACGTCCTGCGGAGAAAGAGTGTTGGCCTGGCAGAGGTTTATGCATTCTCAGATCAAGCTCCTACATATCGTCTGCGCAAAACGGCAATCATTATGGTGTTAAATGCACGTCGCGGAGGCACTCTGGAAGCTTCGCCATATGCAACTTAGTAAATTCGTTAACGTTCTCCGCCCATTCAGGACTAAGTGACACCCAATTCAGACGGCAACGGTGGTACTTTGGCAAAGGTACCTGTAGTAAATGGAGCTGGAGATTGGAATCACACGGCGCATAAAGGTCCTTTTTGCTAAGGAATCTCCTGTGCTAAACGGAGCTCGCCAAACTCCCTTTACAGCTAAAGGGAGTGCCCTCGGACCCACGAACTCAAAATAAAGATCACAGATATATAAATATTTATTGTTTAATGCATTATAACAAATTGACTATAAAAGTCGCAAATTGTGAAATTATTGGGAACGCAAATATGATAGAATAATGTATTAACGATTAACGCATACTCTAGCTCGCAGGTAGCAGCGGCGGCACGGGGAAAACAATGTCTGCTACGAACCCGAGCACGATGGACCACTGCGAGGTCTTTTTCGAGGTTCTAGACGAGTCGTCCGACACTCCCGCCCAGGACCCGTTATCCTCGTCGTCGTCCATCCCTTTCGAAGGCGTGACTGACGTAACCGTGAGACTCCGACGTGGTTCGTTTCTGCCGGGCACTATTTAGCTACTTAAGTGAGAACTTCGCGGAAAAATGGAGCTGCTAAACTCAAAAAGGTCGCCCACCTCGCAATGGAAACTCTTAAACGCAGATGACTTAGGGTCAGTGTGGCTAGACGGGTCGGACGTTTTAAATCATGACTCAGTTAGGTAGGTGTGCCCTTAGACTTAGAGAAAAAAATGAAGTGCCGCAAAAGCAAACACAAATAATATTGGGGTTTTAATCGTGATATTTCACACACAATTAAAAAAAAAAAACGCGTCAAGCCGATTTCGAGGTCTAATGTTTTATCACGTGGTCCTCTCGCGGCTTAGCAGGGATGCGATCGACATCAGTTTAAAGTGCTCCGTTTATTTATCGTATGGCAGTGTTCTCGTGTGATCAAGAACGCCGTTTACCTTCAGCTAAAGGACCTAAGGTAAAGGTACCTTAACGCTGCCGTGTGAATTGGGTATTACCCTACGAACAAGCAATACTGCCGCGATCTGGCGCTGCTTAGAAACTCATGAAGTGGCGTGCTTGGGAGAAGAGTGTGTTGGTTGAGTCAAACTCAAACTCTTTATTTCTCTCCGTTTGGAGAGGGGAGACAGAGAAAATAGCAACTCAGTTGTTGCTTGACGAGCCTCTGCCTCCCCAGTGCAGCGAAAGAGGACAACATGTACATACAAATGTTTTTTTCACCATCACACTTATAGCACAAAAATAAACAACATTTATTTATTTATTTATTTATTTATTCAGAGCCCGAAGGCCTCAGGGCCCGAAGGCATTATAGAGGGGAGTGGACACACACATCTAATTGCACACAAAGACAAACAGTAATTAGGCGGGTAAGCATAAAAATCCAAAAACAGAACATTGTTAAAACAAAACACTGTCAACCAAAATCAAAAAAATATTCGCAAAGTGCAGCTTTGAATCCGGAATTCTCGGCTATGCTGGCAACAGGTGCGGGAAGGCGATTCAAAGTCCAGTGATGTCATGGGTATGAAAGACTGATGAAAGCTTGAGGTGCGACACTGAGGGATGCCAACTTTATTTTGATGGTCGAAACGTGATGAGACGTATGATGGTTGTATTAACAGATGCTGACGAAGATTTGCATTGTGGTGGTAAATTTTATGAAATAAACATAGACGAGATATTTTTCTACGTAGGGAGAGGTCAGACAAGTTTAGGGTAGTTTTCATTGCTGTTGCGCTAGATGTGCGATGATAGTTATGCAGTATGAAACGAACAGAACGGTTTTGAGCAGCTTCTAATGATAATGCAAGCGTTATACCGGGGTCCCAGATAGCGGAAGAATACTCAAGTTTGCTGCGGACCAATGATTTGTAAAGAAATAGTTTTAAGGACAGTGGGGCAAGAGAGAAGTTCCTTTTTAGAAAGCCCAACATGCGGTTAGCGTTTTTAATTATATACTCAATATGAATGTTCCATGAGAGGTTGTTAGTGATATGAACACCAAGATGTTTAAATGAGGACACGGATTCCAGCTCAACAGTTCTTATATGGTACGAGGGACAGGTGTTATTTTGACGTGATACTCTCATGGATTTGCACTTGTTAATATTGAGTTCCATTTGCCATTTATCACACCAACGAGAAATACTGTCAAGGTCAGACTGGAGCGCAAGAACGTCAAAATCGTTAGTTACTTCAGAATAAATGACACAATCGTCTGCGAAGAGACCAACTGAGGATGAGATATGCGAAGGAAGGTCATTGATATATATTAAAAACAAAAAAGGGCCGAGTACTGAACCCTGGGGGACACCAGAAGTCACAGGAGAGGGGTGCGAGTTAATGCCATTAACATGAACAAATTGAGAACGGTTAGTTAAAAAGGCGTTGATCCAACTCAAAACATGAGAGTCAATGTTCAGTTTACTGAGTTTATACAAAAGGAGCCTATGTGAAACCTTGTCAAATGCCTTAGAGAGATCTAAAAAAATGCGGTCAACCTGAGATGAACGATCGAGGCAAGCGTGAAGGTTAAGCGTAAGTGTTAATAGCTGAGTTTCGCATGAGAACAGTTTTCTAAAGCCATGTTGAGCAGGAGAAAAGAATGTATGGGAATTAAGAAAATTAACGAGATGCGAATAGATTATGTGCTCTAAAATTTTGCAAGGGACACTTGTTACGGAAATTGGGCGATAATTACTTGGGCTGGATTTGTCACCACCTTTATGGATAGGAATCACCCTCCCCACCCTCCAGTCCTCGGGAAGGCTTCCGAGTTCGAGTGATTGCCGAAATAGCTTTGTTAAGATAATAGAGGAATACACAGTAGTGTTTTTGAGAAACTTCGAGTTAATAGGGAGACGACGACGAAGTGTTTTGGAACACGGCTCCATTTCTTCGCTCCTTAAATCAAACAACAGGATCCAGAAAACTGCGCAGGTATCTGGCCGTTCGTCTCTATCTTACCCGATCAGAGCACTACAAATCTGCGACGACGCCTGAAAAAAGGCCCTGATTTGGTCCCTTAGGGGACAAACACCATGATCCATGAGGCCGGCAGCGCAGCGCAGTCATCAGATGCATCCAGCATGTCTGATGACTCTAGCATCATTATGAGCGACCCTGACGACAACGCAGGCTTTACTCTGGTGAAATCGAAAAGGACCAGGAAGAGAAAGCATGTCTCGAAGGAATCTGCATCCAGTGACGACACCATCATCACAACGCCAAGCCCCGGCCTCACCGTCGTCGTCAAACCTGCAGATCCGAGCCAAATCATCACGAAGGTCAATCCTCTAAAGCTATCTGAGAAGTTAAACGACATTGCACCTGACGGAGTGATCCTCATCAGACCAAACTACCGACTTAATCTTCTGGCGATCGACACGAGAAACACCGAGTCCAAAAAGACTCTGCTCAAAATGACAACCCTCTGCGGAATGAAAATCACTGTATATGAGGCACATCAAAGATCTTCAACTATTGGAATCATCCGTGGAGTTTCTCAGGAGATCATAGAAGCGGACCTCCAGGAAGGGATACGCGCGACTGTCCCTGTCACCCAAGTGAGAAGGCTAGGGAAATCAGATATCGTCAAGCTCGCCTTTGCCACAGAAACTACTCCAGAGTACGTCACTCTAGGCCACACCAGATTCAAAATCCTACCATACACAGACAAACCTCGACAATGTCCAAAATGCAGTCGCTTTGGCCATGTTGCAAGTGTATGCAACAAGGTGGAGCGGTGTAGTCGCTGTGGCGGCAACCACCAACGCAGTGCCTGTGAAGCAAAAGAACCGCAGTGCATCAACTGCAAAAAGAACCACGAATCGACATCACGCCAATGCACCTTCTACAAGACAGAAAAGAAGATATCAGCCTACTGCAGCGAAAACAATGTCAACTACACAGCTGCCCGATCTGTGGTGAAGCCATCTGGCCCCAGACATCAAGATCCTGAGCAGAGAAGTCATCACCGCCAAAGTAACAAAATCGAGAAAACATCGCAAGTTGTTGTGGTACCCCCAGCGAGAGATGCAGCCTTCCCACCTCTGCCAAGCCATTCAACTGACGGGACAAATCCTGTTCAAACGTCACCTGGATCTTCACACGGCCAACACCAAGAAAGCGTCAGCCAATCGAAGAAGCTCCAGTGGGTTCCAAAGCAGCTCCATAACGAGTGTAAGGCCCCACCGCTTTTAAGATCGAGTGAAACACCAAAATCACAGAGCCTGGGAAATGCGCTACACACGATAGCAACGCTGATTCGTAATCTTCTTGTTTCCCTTGATTCTCCACTGGCACAAGCTACAATCACAATCATAGACATCGCTCTTCCTCTGATCAGCTCCTGGTGCAGGTAGAGAAGGTCCGTAACAACTCATTCATTTTTCAGTGGAATGCTCGAGGCCTCCGGAACCGTCTTTCAGACTTTCGTCAATTAACCTTCAAATATCAATTCCCCGTAATAGCAATATCGGAATCACGTGTTACTCGAACATTACGCTTGTCCGGTTATGAAGTATTCCACTCAAGTCGTGGAAGAAGTCCCAGCAGGCTTTTACTGGCGATACGTAAAGACCTCACATATGTGGTACACGATGTAAATCCCCATCCTACCAATGAATACGTGGCAGCAACAATTAGCAAGGACACTACGGTTCTAACAGTAATAGCTGCATATATTGAACCAAGAGCCAGATTCGACAAAGACATTCTAGACGAGCTAATTAAGGCAACCCCGTCTCCACATATTTTGACTGGGGATTTTAACGCCCACCATCCTTTATGGGGAGGGGTAAAAACCACAGTACGAGGAAAAAATATTTTAAACATTGCTCACCAACACAACCTAACTATATTGAATGACGGAAGTCCAACATTTATTAAAGGTGCAACACTTAGCAGCTGCTTAGATATCACGCTGGCATCGTCTTCCATTTCGCCCCCACCTCGCTGGTTTGTAGACATCGAAACTCATGGCAGTGATCACTTTCCGACTTACACATTGATACCCGGACTAAATAACAGTCGTCGTAAAAAACTCCTTACATATACTAACTGGAATATGTTCAGCGAAAAAGTTGAAATAGCATGCCAGGAGATAACCACAATTGAAAATTTTTCTAATATGATTGAGAAAACAACATCGGATGCTACAAAATCTTTAAGAATGCAGATCAGCCGAATAGCTGTAGATGAGGAGTACGAACGACTTCGAGCCATCCGTCGACGAGCCGAACGAAGGGCAAGAAAAACTAAAAATAGAGAAGATATAAGAAAGTCCAGACAAGCGCAAAGAAAGGTGCAACGCCATCTCGATAAGCTTTCAATGAAACGATGGAGATCGAACAGTGCTAGACTGGATCCCAGGAAGCCTGTAACGCAAATATGACATATGACGCGAAGTTTAGGTTCCAGGCCGCAGCAAACTTACCCATTTCGTTCGATCGCACTACATCGGCAAGTTACACAAAAGGAAGTAGCAAAAGATTATTGCTTGCAGATTACTCGCGACTCCTCAATATCACACTTGGCTATCCCTATAGCTAGTCATAACACTGCATCAGTGCAAAACGATGTCATCGACGCTCCATTTACTTTAATAGAACTGAAAGAGGCACTGTCTTCAACAAACAAGAACTCATCCGCTGGTCCAGATGGTGTCCGCTATTCTACATTAGCACATCTTGGTAGCGCGGCTAGAACATTCTTACTCGATGTCTATAACGCTTCGTGGGAATCTGGTAGAATACCAAAAGAGTGGAAGACTTCACGAGTGATTCCCATACTTAAGCCAGCCAAGACCCCTTTGGAGATTAGCTCATATCGACCCATCGCTTTATCGAGCTGTGTCGGGAAAGTCATGGAAAAAATGATACTGTCACGACTCGAATGGGACCTCGAAAACAGAAAGATACTTCCTACATGCATGTCAGGATTCCGCCGAGGAAGGAACAGTGTTGACAATGTTTTAGACCTAGTAGCCACCATTGAACAAGCAAACGCGAGCAAATTGAAAACAACTGCCGTCTATATTGATATAAAAGCTGCCTTTGATTCTGTGGATCATAACGCCATCCTTACAGATATGAGAAGGATCGGTCTAAGTACAAGACTATGTACGTGGGTCTCCGGTTACCTGAAAGGTAGACACATCTTTATTTCCACTGAAGATGGAGACACCGATCTCTATGAAGTTACAAGAGGAGTACCCCAGGGAGGTGTCCTGAGTCCCACTCTTTTCAACATATCTCTAATTCATCTTGTCAAACTGCTTCCGAAAAAATGTGCATACATCTTTTTACGCCGATGATATTTGCTTCTGGGTCTCTAGCAGATCGTTATATATAAACAGAGCACGTATACAAAAAGCAATCAATATAACTGTAAAATACCTCCATTCACATGGAATGCAAATCTCCCCAGCCAAATCCGCTGCTATCGCCTTCACGAGAAAGGATACAAGGAGATATCCCATTCTAATAGAGGGGACACCACTTGAATACGTCAAAGAACATACATTCTTAGGAGTGACCCTACATCGATCTTTGTCATGGTCCCCACACATCAGGCGCATAAAGAAAAAACTGAAGTCCTTCACACAAATTATTAAAATGATAAGTGGAACGAGATGGGGATGTTCAGTAAGAGCACTTTTGACCTTTTACAACGCTCTGTTTGTCGGACTATTACGCTACAGTATTTCAGTCATGCATGGTATCTCCAAGTCGTCAATGAAAGACCTGGAAAGTGTTCAAGCACAGGCTCTAAAAGTTTGCCTAGGACTACCAAAATGCACATCAAACATTGGAACTCTTGTTGAAGCTAGAGAAAATTCGCCCGGTATCCTCAGAACCCAAGAAACTATTCGAGTTCACCTACGACACCAAGCGCGCAGCCAAGCACATCATCTGGCGAATATTACGGAGGTTAAACCCTCTGCTCGCTTTTCGAAGGTCATCTCACAACTCCATGGGTCTATTCCAAATACTTTTGAATTAGTTAAAACTCCGCAGCAAGCACCGTGGACGTGCAGTTCTATCGACATTAAATTGAACATCCCAGGTGTTACGCAAAAAGCAGCAACCCCAACACCTGTTATGATGCAGCTAACACTTGAGTATATACATCATGCCTATCTCTCATCGCGACACATATATACGGACGGGTCAACTAACTTTATATCATCATCCATTGGAGCCTATATTCCGTCAACTAGCACGACAATCAAAACGAAACTGAGCCATATTACATCCTCGACAGCAGCTGAACTTGCGGCTATCCGGGCAGCTGCTGCGTACATCAGCACCCAAAACCCCCAAAACTGGACAATATTTGTAGACTCTAAGTCCGCTCTCAGCGCACTCATGCATAAAAGAAAGAATAACGTAAATGCTCAACTGATATATGACATAATGCAGAAGTTCCATGATGTGAGGTGTCAGGGACATGAAATTGTCTTACAGTGGGTACCGGGGCATAGTGGCATACCCGGCAACATTTATGCTGACAAAGCTGCTAGGGACGCCCACGAAGCTGATAATACCTGTGCAATTCCACTGTCAAGGACAGATGCAAATGATATAGTCCGAAAAATTGGGAGAGAAATATCATCCAGACTATGGAAAGATCCATGCTACTATTATGCGCACTTGAAACATATTGACCCGGAATTAAAGTTCCGAATGCCGGGAAATATAAAACGACGAACAGAAACTGTGCTGCATCGAATACGCTTGAATGTGGCTTTTACTAGAAAATATCTTCATATGATCGGCCAAGTAGATTCACCGCATTGTACAGCATGCTCAACAACACACGACATTAAACATGTACTCTGCCATTGTTCACTATATAGTTCCCAAAGGAAAATACTAAAACAATCCTTGAAGATACATGATCAGGACATGGAGCTCTGCCATATATTAGGACCCTGGACTTCAGTAGCAAAAGAATCCAAAGCAACCAACGCTTTACTCCGGTTCTTAAAGGACACCCGCCTGGACCAAGAGCTGTGAACTGACATCACTATTTTTAATTTACGTGTGGCTATTTATTTTTCGCCAATCTTTGAGTGCGTATATATGTGTTTTAGTATGTGTGTGGGATGTGTGTGGGGGAGGGGGGATAGGAGTGGATATGTGATCTCACTCTTTCTTTACTTCTCTATTCTGTCTGCTGTCTCTCTGCTCTCTTCCTTTTCACGCAAAGTAGCAAACCAGCACTCACAAGCAGGTTGACCTCTTTGCTTTCCTGTAAATAAACATACCTCTCTCACTCTCTCGAGTTAATATTAGCAATTCCACACGATGACGATAGTTTAAGGTTGGCGATGACTTTCACTATACCGGCACATTCTATATCAAGGGAATTCATAGCACAAATATTGTATTCATAAACATCCGGATAGGAATTACTAACATTAGATGGGGGAAGGGGGAAGGGGGGAAAGGAATCGATTTAGCCAAGTTTACAAATTCCAGGGGCACTCTCTCACAAACATGGAACGTACATTTTTTACGGTTTCATTCAAAACTTAAAAAAAAAAAAAATTGGGTTGTGTGTGTGTTTATACAGCCTAGAACTTGGTCTGCCTCACAGGGGCGACGAGTCTCCCAGCTGTAGATGAGAAATTTAGCCAGTGCGGTACAGCCGCTAGCCTGGGGTCTTTAACGTGCATCACGCAGTAGTGATACACGACCGCACGCCGGTACGATGCTCATCCAGATCGAAACGGGCAGGGGTGGGGCTCGAACCCAGGATCTCTGCAGCGCGAGCTTTCGCTCCACGTGCTCCGAGCTGGTGTGCGCTAAAGTCACTGGATCCTGGGAAAGTAGCGCTATTGCCTTCCCTACCTGCTAGCCGGACACAAACGAATACTAACATACAGACGACCCAAACTTCGCAAGGCGATTGGCTAATCGGCCTACGTTGCCATGGAAATCGCCATCTTGGTCCATTTAAATCTTCGAAGCTTCCAGGGGGTCGTTCTAAACCAGCCATGGTTTAGAACGACCATGGAGCATGGAGCATCATCGTACTGGAAGCGTTCCTCTTCAATATAAGAGTCTTTGGCACTTCGTATGCGATCAACTTATTAATCAGGCCCATCTCCATGGATCTCTTACAATTATATTGTTCCTCTTGCGTATTTCAAGACAGTAAGGTGGTACGAACATGTACGCTTGTTTCGCCGGTGTGTAGGTAGCAAAATCTCAGTATACAAGAAAGGTCTCCATAAAACTACCCGTCACCAGCGAATCTAAATAGACTCACCAAGAACGAAGGGGTCAAGAAGAAATTGCTCATTTCATGGACCAAGATGGCGACCACACGCGGAGCTTGGCGTTACTTTCCCAGG